ACTTTTTTTTAACTTTCCTACCAAACTCACTTTCCAACTATTTCACTATTAATTATATTTTTCTAGTATTCAAAAAATTTCTCCTCAACCAAATGCTCCCTTAGGGTTTATGCCATGTCATTAAGTGGCTTTCTGTCATTTAGTGACACCCGATGTAATTTTCTTTCAACTGTTATCAAATTTTTACCCGAAAACACCCAAGACTCTAACTTTAAGTAATTAATATTAATTTTGTCTAATTATTATCTTCATAACTTAAAATTTGATTAGGAGATCACAGATCCACTTGCAGTTGTTTAATTGCACTATAGTCTTTACTGGTGTTCTTAACTGTACCCGAATTTTATAATCTTCTTAACTTTAACATTATTGGTCTAATTATGACTTGTTAGGAATATACTGGGCTTTCATTCCATTATTTCATATTCTTCCCATTCTGGAATTCTACTGGTTGCTGCTACAGCAGTATAAAATATCCGGTAAAAGTGACTTTTCAGAAGTACCCCAATATGGGTATCAATCTTCACCATTTCATATACTAACCTCATTCATGATGTTTATATCATTATATTAGCTCTCTAACTCAGATTTGCTAGATTGGAGCTATTCTACAGACTGTTACTGCGTCAGCAGTCAAAAACAACAGTTGGAAATTCAACTGTTCAAAATACCCTCAATATAGGTATCAAACTTCATAAAATCTTATGCTTATATCATTTATGATATTCATATCATTAGGATAACTCTCTAACTTAAATTCAATGTACTGGAGCTATTCTACAGTCTATTGCTGCGTCAGCAACCAAAAACAGCAGACGAAAATTCACCTGATTGAAATACCCTCAATATGGGTATCCAAATTCTTAGAATTTCATTGTCATTCTATTTATAATCATAAGGTCCTCATCATAACCCTCTAATTTAAAAGTCATATAATTAGAGTTATTGTAGTTATAATCTCCATGCCTCCATGATACTAAAATAAAAAATCCATCATTTATAAAATAAACACATAGACGAAGATGAATATACTTGGTAAATTATTTGTTTCTTCGTTATTATTCTAGCGAAGAATCATACTACTTCAATCATGCATTATAAAGAAGCCAAGCATATCTCTCGAAAAAGTGAAATACAAATTTGCAAATAAGAAAGAATATTCATCCGAAATGTTGTTCCTTTTTCCCCTCGTAAAGTTGGGTTGCTAAGATGCAATAAGATCTTCTACCATCTTGCCATGTGTGTAGAACATGACCAAAAATTAAAATAAAATTAAAGAAAAAGGAAGAATATTAAAGAAAAGAATTATCAATTGCATAATTTAAAAAGGCACATATTCTCCAGCTTTTGATAAGCAGAAGCATGTGGGTTCCTGTAATGGAATCCTAGATGTAATTCTGTTCTGTATTGGACAATTATTCCAAGCTAAGTCTAACTCGTTGAATTTTTTTATTTTACAAGACTACCTTTTCTACTAATTTGAGCTTAACCTTATATATATATATATATATATATATATATATATATATATATATATATATATATATATATATATATATATGTCATTCATAAGCAATGGATTTTATAACTTGATTTAATATAGGAGAAGCCTAGAAATCACATTGCATTATAAAAATATATGAATACTCACATAAATCATGCCTTTGTGGATGGAAAATTGACAGTGCATTAGCTGCAATCAATTACATGCCTTCAAATTTGGTAGGAAATACTTTATCGCTTTACTTAGATTTCACAAACAATTCTAAAATAGCATGTGGTTTCACTTCATGTGTTTATTTGAAACAAAAGTAAGAAACAAACGTACCCTTGGTGACAACAATATGCTTTTCCCTAAACCCTTCTGTTTTCAAATGGCCACTGTTTCTAACTATGTCAAGCTAGAGAGAGAGCGAGAGAGTACTATTATGGGGGGACCCTATGGAGTTTGAATAGGAATCTCACAAGGCCTTGAAAGTTGAAGCCTTTGGGGGAAGTGCTTGGGGTGGGAGGGGAGAGAATATTCTAGGGCCACCAGAGTTCAATAGCTAAAATCCAAAGATTTATATTAAACAATGTTAGAAAGGAAAAACATCATTAGATTATGATTAAGGATTAGCAAAGGTAGCAGGAAAAGTCAGCCCACAAGGAGACGACTGCTCAAACTTCAAAAAATTCACTGTCTTTGTCAGCTGGCTGTCTGCTAATGTTCCCTTTTCATATAAATCTTCGTATCAACACAAACACTATCAAATTAAGACTCTAATAGCAATTATACACCCATCTTTAATTAATTAATGATAAATTTTTTTTATATGTATCTTGATTGTTCGATTATTCGACTAATCAGATTCAGATATTGTGAGAAGAAGACTCTTTCATGATAAAATTTTTCATTCCCAGGACTGAAATACAAAATATTTGATTAAGAGAAACAAATTCTTTACCACCTGAATCAATAATTACAAGTAATTAATGATATTTCCAAGACTATCCTATTTCTGTATTTCACTACCATGTGAATCTACAGCAAATATGACTTTAATTTTGATACAGCAAAAAAATATTATTGTCAGATTATCATAAATTTAACAATACAAGAGATGTTAAATTTATCTACAATGCATCCAAATTAATCGTATGCTTGATACTTCAAAAAAAATAACCGTAGCGTTGAACCTAAGCAAACTTTTTTTTTTTTATGTGATGGCGTGGTTGTCGTTGATGATAGTGGGGAAGACTTTTCTTTCATTGATACCCTCTTCTGATAATCATATAATAGTATATACCTTAATAAATAAATTAAAAAAATGAAGAAGATGCATCTTTAGTTGAATTAAAACCGTTTTGTTTAGCATTAGAACGTAGAACTGTGGGATGTTAAGTGCTTCAGCTAATTTGGAAAGGATGTAAGAAAACTAATCATCGAAATTGACTCAAGTTTTGTTGTCGCGTTGCTCATTAGGCATGGTGAGAAAGCTTCTGAATCATCTTTGATGACTCGGATTCGAGCTATGATCAATTATAACTGGAAAGTCCACTTTATTCATACATCGAAGGAGGTCAATTGTTGTGCCCGATTACTTGGCGAACCTTCTGCTAGGCCGCCCGAATATGGATGTCTTCTCAGAACCTTCTCCTTGCTTTTGTTTGCGGATTCCTAAGTCACTCCTCAAATTAGGGATGTCGGTGGATTTTTTTTCTTTTTCTTTTCTGTTTTTTACCTTTTCTTTATGTATCAAGAAAGAAAAAAAAAACCATTTTGTTACTATATAGAATAGGTTTTATTAGTGTTATGTAACATAATGTAAGTATTTACTACCAAACCATCATTTTTCGGTTATTCCTTTAGATTGGTGGGCCATAAAAGTTAAATATTTCCAACTAAGTTAAATCTTTATTTAAAAGAAAAAGAAACTGTACGTAAAAGATGCTGAGAAAAAGCAATAAAGTAAAATATCTACTATACGAAAATAGACTAGGAAAGGTAACAAGAGGATCACCATATATCTACAGCTCAAAAATTAACAACCAATTAATCAAGGTCTATGCAGACCTTCAATTCGTGTTAAGAGATTAAAAGTATGTTTCACTGCTTGGTTACATCACCACGCACAATGATTTGATGATGATAATAATAGTTAATATTGATAATATACAATTGATAGAATAACAACAATGATAAAATTATATAAGAACAAGAAATAACTGTTAGTTTGGTGTATATTAAAAAGCCAAGAACGCTAGAAATCCAGTCAATATGTGAGACATGGTCATGTTGTCATTTGGACGATTATTCCCTTTTCTGTGTTCTTTGGTCGTTTCCTTTGGATTTACCTTGGTAGTTTGGTGAGTGCATGAACACACGTGCATGGCTTTTTACTAAGAAGATTTCTGAACAATTAATAGGTAGGTATAGCTATCCGATGTTTATAATGGCAAACTAGCTCTTTATCTTTCCTTTCAATCGTATGGCATGCAATAGCATTTTACAAAATTTTGGCAGCTATCAATCTTCTTCGAGAAATGACTTGCACTTTCACTTTGAGTACTAAAGCTTCAAAAGACTCAATATTTTGCCTTTCCTGGAACATGAACATTAAAGATTTTTGTGATTGGGTAGGCTTCTATTTCCGGTCACAACTTGATTTAAGTGGCTGTGAAGTGAGGGTAATTCAAGTTGTCATATTAATATAGCAATATGACCAATTCTTCAGAAATAATGCTCTTTTATGGGGGCATGATTATGTAAACTATAAGACCAAGGTACATAACTATATACCATTAACTTGGATATATATATATATATATATATATATATATATATATATATAGCATCAGCTAGCTCTACCTAATGATCATATGCAGTTAGTGGGGGCAGTGCCTAATAACCAAAAAAAAAAATATTTATTTCAGTTCAAATGAACTTCAGACATCAAATGAAAACTTGTATTAGGAAACAAAAATTTGAGAGGGCAGGGAAGAAAAGAAAAAGATAGAAGATATCTTTACCAAAAAAAAAAAAAGAAGGAAAAGAAAAGAAAATCTTAGAAGATATACGAAACATATAAAATCTGGAATGATTAGGATGAGAATGCTCAGATTGCTATACAGAACAAAGTCCATGAAATACAATATATATTGCATTAATTAGTCTCTACTTTCTAGCTAATTGAGCATTACTATTCCACAGTATATAGATACATAGGCTTTATATATAAATATTTGAAAGGCATGGTGGAGTTCCTTACTGTTTAATAAACAAAAAAAATTATTCTCCAAAAAAAATAAACAAAAATATTAGAAAAAGGGTCATTGGATGAGAAGGATTAAAAAAATAAGAAAACAAAAAGCAACAACAAATTATGGGATAATCATTCCGAATGGAGATTAACTTTCTTCAGAGCTCATCATATATGTGTCATCATACACCTTTGCTTCACCTCCCCTTCCCTTTCTTTGCCCCCCCTTCTTTATTTCTCTCACTCTCTGTCTCACCTTCCCCTTTAACTTTTCACCGCCTCCCATTGCATCTAGGTTTTTTTATTCTACCTAAAAAGTAGATAATTAAATCAACTGAAACATATGAGAGAGAGAGAGAGAGAGAGAGAGATCCCATCTTGCATATATCAGTTGGTGTTCTAGGGTTGGAGGCTTATATAATTAACAAGGCTAGCTACACATTCTCTCTAGTTCTCTCTTAAATTCAAACACTATTACTTCTTCTCACTGAACTGTTTGTGAGTTTCTTATTATAAATTGAGTCAAACTGAGAAACAATGAAACAGCTTGAGATGCTGGAAAAGATGGATGATGGAGAAATCACAAATGTTTTCCCTCAGAACCCAACTGGTGCATCCAATAACCCTCCACTTTTGAAGAGGAAGAGAAACCTCCCAGGAAATCCAGGCATGCTTCTTCTTTCATTGCTTATTCTCTTTTTTCTCTTTAATTATTTTTTGATGATAAGTATATTCAAAGCTATTTTTGCTTTTTTATCAAGAGGGGAAAACAAAATTATGAGTTATTATGGGATTCTTCTATTTGTGCACAGATCCTGAAGCTGAAGTCATAGCCTTATCACCAAAGACTCTAATGGCTACAAACAGATTCTTGTGTGAAACTTGTGGGAAGGGTTTCCAAAGGGATCAAAATCTTCAACTCCATCGACGTGGACATAACCTTCCTTGGAAACTCAAGCAGAGGACAAGCAAAGAAGCAAGGAAGCGAGTTTATGTGTGTCCAGAGAAAACTTGTGTCCATCACGATCCTTCAAGGGCTCTTGGAGACTTAACTGGGATAAAGAAGCACTTCTGCAGAAAGCACGGTGAAAAGAAGTGGAAGTGTGAGAAGTGTTCAAAGCGTTATGCTGTGCAGTCAGATTGGAAAGCACACTCAAAAACTTGTGGCACCAGAGAATACAAATGTGATTGTGGAACTATCTTTTCACGGTAACTAACCTACCCATCTAAGATTGCTGATAGTATCAAATCTTATAGGATCAAGTTTTATTTTATTTTTATTTTTTGCAAAAGTGGTAACTTAACTAGTGGTCTGAAAAACTCTCTCTCTCTCTCTCTCCCCCTCCTTGTGGTCTCTGGGTTTATGCGTTCTGTGTGTGGGTATCTGAGTACTTGCTGTCTATTTGGCTTTTAGTAGTAAAAGGAGAACAATGAGGCTTAGTTCAAACAAAGGACTTGAAAGAAGCCACAAGTTTTTGATAAGCCTTTTTGCAACCTTAGCCCTAAACGACAAAAGTTTATGGTTTGGAGTTATCTTTGTTAACCTCACCTTATCTGATTATTAATTCAGTTTTTCTTTGACACTAGTTTCGGGGTTATAATCCCTATAGGCTAGTTAGTACTAGTTATGATGTCGTAGTCTTGCTATATGAAGTTACTCCTATTTGGACTTTTGTTGAGTTGATATTAGACTTCTTAAATGCCTCTTCAGATTATTATTATTATTATTATTGTTATTAATTATTTTTCTTATGGTTTATTAAAAAATTTGTTTGAGCAGGAGAGATAGCTTCATAACTCACAGGGCCTTCTGTGATGCCTTGGCAGAAGAAACAGCTAGGGTAAATGCAACATCAGACATAAACAACTCGTTAGTTGGTAACATTGGTTACAACGTAATGGGAACATCCATATGCCATAACATGCCAACCCCTTTTTCTTCAATTTTCAAACCAATTTCAAACACTGAAGAAACAAGTAATCAAACATCTAGGGGTTTATCCCTTTGGATGGGTCAAGCATCTCAGGCTCATCAAACAATAGCTACTGGCAATTTACGTGAGATTCATCATCAACTTGGGTCTAATACAAGCTCAGGATCAATATATGGTGGGAACCAACTTGTTCAATGCTCAAATCCTCCACCCTCTAATTATCAGCTAAATTGGGTGTTTGGAACAAAGCTTTCCTCTAATTGCAGCCAAGAGATAACTAGCACTACTACTTCACTTCCACTAGGTAGTATTGTTAAGGATGCTGCTACAAGCCAGCCATTAAGTGTTCCTTCCTTATATAGCTCCCAACACCAATCCCATCAAACATGTTCAGCAAACATGTCTGCCACAGCTTTGTTGCAAAAAGCTGCTCAAATTGGAGCAACCTCAACCGACCCATCATTCCTTGGGAGCTTAGGGTTTAAATGCAGTAACAGTCAAGGTCAAGATGGGAACAATCTTAGTGGCATGTACGGTTCAAGTTCAGTACTCACAAGTCTTGGGAGCGAGGCAGAGAACTCTGCATGTGACTGGTCACAAATGCACCCTGCCAAACGTAGACAAGTACAAAATGAAGAGAGTGGAGGGGGGCAAACTAGGGATTTTCTTGGTGTTGGTGTGCAAAACCATTTGTCACCCTTCATCAATCAACGGATGGATTTTATTTGATAATGTATGTTCAAATTAATGTGAAGTTTAAATTTCTTTTTTTTCTTTTTTTGTCGATGGAAGGGAAAAATAACAAATAAAAAGCAAAAGGTGGATGAAGTTGGAGGAAGAGAATTAAGTATCTGGAAACTTTGCAGGGAGGAAAAGGTGGGAGTTGAGTGCTTGATGGGGGGCTGAAAAGTTTGGTGTTAGAAAACTATTGAAGGGCTGAAAGGGGAGAGATCCATGCATATTCTTTTGAACACTGAAAGCTGATCCCTTTTAAAAATGGTGGCTTTAATTTTTTGATAAAAGGAGTACCATTGTGGAGTAGTGGGGGCAATGCATAGGACAAGCTTTTGAACTCCATTATTACAGTGTTTCATCCCTGTTATAGTTGTTGTCTTGTCACACTGGGCTTAAAAGAGAATTTCCAGTGACAAAAAAGCATCATTCTAGTACAAATAGGCTTTTACTCTATAAATTAAAATAAATTAATGTACCATGTTCATTCACCCCTGCAATGCATACTTGTAGTATAACGAGATTGGCTTAATTTTCTATACATGCAGCAAAATGGACCTAATAAGATCGAGGCATATTATGTTTTATTATTAATTTTTTTGTTCATTTTTTTCACTTTTTCTTCCTTCCCAATCCCTTCTCTTCTTTTCATGCAATCAGCGGAAAGTGCGGTGATCTGTTGCCTTTTTCATTAGTCCATCCATATCTTTGTACTAGTACGGAGTGAAAATATATAAAGGAATGAATCCACCCAAGATGTTGAAATTAATAAGGGAGAATAACAAGAGTCAGCCTAGTGCAAATACTTTTGACCATATAGGATGAGATTAAAGTGATATTAATTGTTGCATAATGTGGTTATTCAGTTATAACAGTGTGGTTAATCTTTATATAATATATGTTGATTCACCTTAAGAATAAGGCACCTATATCACACCAACCCTTAGAGTCATTCTCCATCAATAATGGTGTTTTAAAAAAATATGTCATGTATTCTAATACATTTTCTAATTTTTTTAATAGAAGAAAAGTTTAGGAGATAAAAAATTGTTTCATTTTGAGACTTGCAAGTCGCAATAAAAGTTTGCAATGCAACATTAACTTAGACATATGATATATTAGGTAGGTTATACTTACAATTTTTTTTTTACAACCTCTTACAATCATATCTTAACACCATTGATTTCCGTCAATCAATGGTTATGATTTTCGCAAATTAAACTTATTAATTAATTATTAATTAACAATAAATAATAACTGTTGATTGACGAAAATCAACGGTGTTAAAATATGGTTGTAAGAGGTTGTAACTTGTTGTAACTATAACCTTCCTCATGATCTATTAATAAAAGATTATTATCAACAGAAGTGAACTATTTTTTTTATCAATGTTGTAATATTTTACTTAATTGAGAAACTCTAATTGTATCCTAATGCTATTTCTTTCTCTTGGATTATTCCAATACTAATTAAAGCATAACGGGCACCGTTTAGCCTCCTATATCAGCGGAATTTCTCGAATAAAACATATAACATGCATCAAAATTCAAGAAATCTTGGGCTTCGTCATTTCTGATGTAGACAAATAACTTTAGCACTAGTTTAGAAAATCATTTGTTTATTTTTTTTTTATCACTTTGTCTTCTGGTGATTCTCTACTGAATGAGCCTTTCGGCTAAGGAATATGCCACGCTCGAAAAACAACCAAATGGGTTGCCTGTGTGCGTAAGTTAGTATATAGCGTGATTAAACCTTTCACTGTTTTGTATGATGATTTAACAGTGACCTCTATATATGCTCGGTTGCATTAAATCAATCAAAAGGGAGAGAAAACATAAGGATCAAAAGAAAAAGTGGGGGAAAGTAAAAGAGGAGCCATATTCTCTAGCCTTGCCTGCCGTACACTCTGATCTTTGATTTTGCTTTTACTTTAGGTTACGTGATGCCGTGTTGGGTGGGACAAGTTATCAAATTGTTGTTCACAATGATACCACAAATCTATCATATTTTCAATCAAAATAGATTTATGGTATCATTGTGAACAACAATTTGATAGAGTACTATATGAGTATACATATAGGGAATATTTGTCGAATGACGATTGAAGTGTAGGACGTAAAAGCTTCTTCATGTCACGATTCACATTTTGCTTTATTATGATCTGACAACAGCTATTGAGAGTTTGGCCTCTCTTAACACCAAAAATTGACCGAGATATAAGTAAGGATTTTGAGTCACTACGCAAGTACACAAATGTATGATCAGTAAATGTCTGCCCAAACTGCGTTCAATATTTTTATACAAAAATCACATATTTTCCTTCGCATAACAAGTTCAATAATTAGGATAAATTGTGTTTGTGTGTGTTTAAATCATTGTCATAAAAAATGGGACAAAATTGAGCAATCTATATAGCTAATTTAACTATAAATTGAATACTTATTCGGTTATGATTTAGTTTTATTCAAATTGACAGTTAAATTATTTTGAACTAGCTAGTTGATTTACCTAGTTAAACAAACTGGTCAAAAAAGTATTACTTACATTTTTTTCATATTTCATTCTTTTTTATATTTTATATTATTTCATGTGAATTAATTTTATAACTGTCTATTAATTCGAGCAATTGAAATTGAATTGAAACTGTCTCGGTCGTAGAAATCGGTCTAAAGTTACTGTTGGGGGCCTCCAGGCTTTCTTGTGCTATGCCAGTAGGATGGGGGTGCTTGCGTTGAGGAATGTGAGGAGTACCTGAGAGTGAAAAGCCCTACATTTACAGGTAGGTTAAAGATGTTACTGTGAGACATGTAAGCAGAGTAGAGTGTAGTCCTCAGTGAATAGCGTGTAGTCCTACGTTGCATGGAATTTGATGATATCAAATTATTTGAGCATGGTCAAGGGGATAGTTTTGTGCCATGTTAATAGGTGCTTTCGTTATATTATATACTCGGTCTAGGACAGAAAGTTTTGCCAATTCCTTTTTATTTTAACAACTCTGTTTTGAATTTCAAATCTTAAGAAAAAAATACTAGATAAAATACTTGATTATATATATATATATATATATATATATATATATATATATATATATATATATATATATATATATATATATAGGATAAAGGATTTCTCCGGTCAATGAAAATGAGTTATCTCCGGTGAACCCAAAACGACGTCATTTTGAGACGAAAATCAAGGTATTTTTTGTAATTATAATATATTGCAGGGTTATATTAGTCTTTATCGTTATAATTTTTTAATTTTATAACCCAAAACGACGTCGTTTTGAGTTCACTGGAGATAACTTTATCTCCTGTAACTGGAGAAATACTTTTTCCATATATATATATATATATATATATATATATATATATATATATATATATATATATATATATATTGGGTAAATGATTTCTTCAGTTATTGGAGATAAGTTATCTCTGATGAGCCCAAAACGACGTCGTTTTGAGACGAAAATTAAGGTATTTTTGTAATTATAATATATTGCAGGATTATATTAGTCTTTATCATTATAATTTTTTAACTAAACCATTCTTCCACCAACTTTAAGTAAAGATACACCTGAGAAAATCAAAATAGCAGTTGAGTTTGCAAAATTTATTTTCCAAGCTAAGTCCATTAACCCTAGTTCATTTAAATTCAGCTAAGACAATAAATAGCAGCATTTTGATCCGAGTACCATCTTTAAAATTTTTAGAACCAAGGCAACAAGAGCCAATCAGTTTGAACAAAAAAAATACCAAATAATTGATGAGAATACACAATTTAAATTGAAAAAGAAAAAAGACCCAGATGAAATTTCAAAGTTAAAGGGCAAACACCCCATGATAACATATGAAGCAAGCAATTGCAAGGATAATTCAGTAAAGAATTACACAAAATGGTGTAGTTTAGATCAAGCTGGTTGTTAAATAAATCTAAAAGTCTTAAAGTTACAAACCTGGTAACCATCCATGATACCATAAACTCTAAGATAATTCTTCTCTATAACTAGCTTCTGTCCATCTTAACATAAGCAAAATTGCCCCCATAGGCCTTCACAACCTAACATGCAAAAAATAAAAAAATATATAAAATCAAACTACAGATTATGAAAATCAAGTAATAGTACGAACTGCAGAACAATTATCAATTTTATGACATAAAAATCCTAAGATAAACATGCAGAAAAATCCTAAGAAAAACATATGAAGCCATTGAGGAGAAAAAAAACACTTGTGAACCGAAACTGTACCTTTGCAAAGAAGAAGAAGAAGAACGAGTTGAAGAAAGACGAAATCAGAAGAGAAGAAGAATGAGTCGAACAACCTAAAGAAGAAGAAAAAATGGCTGTGAAGAAGAACAACGAACAACGTTCACGACGACATAGAGAAATTAGGAAATTAGTTTTGATAAAAATAAATAGGTTGGCCCGCGGTTAGCCCTTTCATAACCCAAAAGAAACGAGGGCCAAAAAAAAGTGGGCTAAAAATAACCCTACTACTTGAGAGCTAAAAAAGGTGGAGCTGAAAAAATGAAGATTAAAGGGGTGGCCCAAAGGTTTGGAGCCTTTTTGACAGCTCTAGATGTTCACATATTGAGATCTACCAAATTCCACCCCATCCGTCAGTTAGGGTTTTACCATCCAAACATGTAGAATCAAACCATTTTTTGAAGAGCAAGTGTGTTAAGGTCATCAAAACGGATCAAATTTGTCAGAATGGCTTATTTACGTGTTAAGATTGTGAGATTTGGATTCCAAAAATGTTGACCCACAAGAGGAAGCCGATCTCGAGCACTAGTTCTTCCCCTCTAGAAGGTTGTGGGTTGCAGATTTAAGTAGTTTGTGGGGCTTTGGTTGTGGTTTTAAATTCCAGAGTGTGGGCTCTTTTTCTTTTCTTTGTTTTGGGTTTGGGTCAGTAAGCGTGATCCATCTCAGTTGTTTCTTGTGTTACGATCAATCATTTTAGTTTTTGGATTTAGGTTTATGGAGTCAAATAGGTTAAAGGGTTTTTTTTTTTTTTTTTCTAGTGGCTAATTTGAAAATGAAATAAATATAATTAAAAATGGACAATAAAGGAAAACAAAAAAACAATGAGTTAAATTGTGTAAAATTAAGACGTTATGATCTTATTCAGTTCATATTTTGATTATGTAAGTATCTCAATCCTAGTCATAAGAATCATCTTAATCCTATTTTATTGTTTATTTCTTGTTAAATTTATGTTTTTGATTTTGTTAGGGTTATCTTTTATTAATCTTTTTTATATTGATGTTTGTCATAAGAATCATCTTAATCCTATTTTTGATCTTATTAAATTCATCTTTTTTTATCAAATTAAACTTTTTAATTTTTTTAGCATAATTTCTGAATTAAAATAAAAAAATGTCAGCCTTATTTTGATTATTTTCTTAGTAAAATTTTTATTAATTTTCTGGTTCACATTATCTTTGATATTTTTAAATTAATTACTAACTATACCAAAAAAAAAAAAATATGTTACTATGGATGCCATTTTATTTCTTATAATGACCGTCTCACAAGCAGAGCATCTGACAAGATCTATATCACATTAGTTACTAATTGTACGTGCTTATCTTTGACTAATGTAACTCAAGTCATATTGACATTTTATATGGGAGATGAAGCTTTCCATTAATCGCTCTGCCTTTACATTTTCACAATATATATGTAACATATTTATTCTTTTACTAGGATCTTAATGGTGTTGATCTTAATATCATAAAATGTCTTGGTTGAGTAAAATAACAGGGAATCACAATAATCTTACGTTTAACAATATTAATACATTGTCAAGACAGAAAGTTTTCCCTTGCTTTTCATTTATAATAAATATAAATTGAATTTGTACTATACTTTTTTTTTGGTAGATAATTTGTACTATGCTTTAATTTGAGTGTTTCTACAATTTAGTTATACCTCGTGGATCGGTGGATATAAATGTAATTATGCAGTTCTCTTGCTCGATTATCATTGAAATGCGGTGACCATGCACGTGTCAAGTTGTTTCAATTAAACCCTTTTCTTTAGGGTTGTTAAACGATCTGGTTTTGTCTTACTCGCATTTAAATGAGTTGTTAAATAATTAGTTTGACTCGCTTTACAAAAATTTGTGGGCCTAAACAGGTCATCCCTTTAAAGATAGCTTATTTTAATTATTTTGTCACTCGTTAAATTATAAACTCAATCATCAAAATCAATCATTGTATAGAATTGTTGGAGAAGATTTAATTATCATGTTACTTTTACATTACGAAGAACTATTATGTATCATATCCAGTTCAATTTCCTGTAACGCTTTACAACAAAGAAATAACATTCCTCATGTATTAGAAATTCCTATAAGTGAGGGCACATTTGCGTTCTCAAGGCAATAAATATTATTACGATTACAACTAGTACTTTCTGGGGGGGAAAGAAACACACGTAGATTCTGTAGTTCAAGAGTGCTTAAGGTAAAAGTCATGTTTGTACAGGTTGATGGTTAGTCTTTACCCAAACAACGACATGATACCTTTGACGTACATATTTTCTTGTTCACTGTACAAAGCATGATAGAAACTACCCTAAAAAAAATTCAAAGCAATGAAAGAAAGAAAGAAAAAAGTGTTACAGCTAACTCTTACTTTCTTAACAGAAGTTTTCAAATGAAGCAATTTCTCTCCTTATTAACTAAAGTAGGTTATTAACTTATTTCATTTTTGTATGATATATAATTGTAATGCCTCAGAATTATGAATCCAATTTAATATTTTCTTCACCTCATTTCATGGCCTCTCATGATCTTTCATCTTCTTTTCCACCACTTCTTTCAAGGAATGAAAGGAGCACCATCATGGACAGGAAAATGGGAAATTACTTGAGCACTGTTAGATCTATGCTGGCTCCCTTGATCAAATGATATGAAATTTGAATGGTAGTACTCAACAAAACCATTGTTTTTGTTATTGATTACCTCATGCATACTTTGACCCTTCATAAGTTTTTCAGGAACTGATGAGTCTTTCATCAATGAACCACATTGTCTAGGTTGTGTTTGATAGAAAACTTTGGAGACTACTAGCTCCCCTTCCTTCTCCTCTTCATCATCGCCAAGGTGGTACTGGTGCATGACCCAATTTGTTTTCTCTGGCTTTCTTTGCTTTCCATAGTTAGTGTAAAGTACAAGAATTTTCTTGTACCCTTTCAACTTTGCACTGTTATACACTGGCCTAGTTTTACCTGTTTTGTGCCAACGTGTTTCACTACCATCCTCATCTGAGTGCACCTTTCTCCTTTTCCTTGTTCCTGTTGTATATGCCTTTGAAGGCCGATGAAAGAAATGGCGGATCTGGCCATCTTTGCTAACCCCTGCAGTGAAATTTAATAAAGTAATTAGATGTTAATCCACAGCAGAGAATATAACAAAACTTATAACTTCACATCTAATTAAGAACATTTTTTGTGCCACGTATATTATTGAGATATGAAAGAGAAGATAAGAAGCTAGGTACCATGTAATACCAAGGTTAGTTGAAGGGTAGATCCCCTTGTCCGATGGGATGCATGTATGATATTAGGAGAATGGATCCTCTCATATCACATGACTTCACGCAAAATGATCCCAATCGTTTATAAATAAAATCAACAATTATTATTTTCTCACTCTTTATTCTAACTTTTTTGTCTTTGATATGACATGAGAGGATCCATTCCCCTTACATCATGATTAACTATTTGAGATTTAGCTTGAAGGATTATATATGCATAACTTAAATTTATTATGATGTGAGATATAAGACTCATTAGAAAATGATACGAGGAAGTTCCGATTACGAGTCCTTGAAATAGAGAAAATGGTATCGGGAGAGTTGCCCTTTATATAGATCAAATACTGCTTAGCTGGACTAATTGGATTATCGACGATTGAATAGGAAAAAAAAATTAAGAAAAAACTGAAGTCAAGAAATTGTAATCACAATCAAATTTACAGGATTTGAGATCTTGAATTGTAATTGACCTGGCAACTTCTCTGGATGAGTATAGCAGATTCCATTCTCTCCTTCAAGAGTAGGGATAAACTCATCAATTAGCGGGTGAAGCTTATGAATATCAGAGCGAACCTTGGCTTCCAAATGTTCAAGAATCTCTTGATCTGTGGGATCAAACTTCACTCCAGCAGGAAGCCCAGGTAAGTCATGAATTCCACCACCCTAATAATTAAACTCCACAATATTTATATTTCATTCATATAGAACACCCCAAAATAAAAAAAAATAAAAAAAAAAGAACTAAGGCAACTAAAAAAGTAATTAAAAAAAAAATAGAAGGGTAATGATATGTGCTCATTAACAAAAGATTTATAATCAAAAACCTGTTCTTGGCATTTGATATGATGACCACATGTAGGACAAGTTCTTATTGTGCTGTCCTTTCGTCCCTCTACTATGATGTTATGATTGTTTTCAGGGTCACTGCACTGAGTCATTTCCTTGTTTTTTCTCTTCTATTCCTCACTCATTCCATTTAGGGAGATCTTCTTTTCCTCGTTTTCGCTTCTGCTGCTATAAAACAAATGGAACAGAAACTAGAAGAGATCCACCTAGGGGGACAGAGAGAATGGTTACAGAGGGATTTAAAGTAGTAATGATTAATAAAAGGGACAAAAGCAAAACTTGTCTCTTCTAAAGATTGCACCCCTCATGCCAGTACTTGTTGAGGTGTGGGAAGGATTAAATTCTCCCTCACTTTTTTAGTGCTCTCTTTTGCATGAGAGTGAATAATATTGCACTCCTTCCCAACCAACCTCCGCTTGCACTTAACTAGAAAGAGGAGAGAGATACCTAAAAATCTAAATAGATAGTGAGATTAACAAGTAGAGATAGGGTTGGTTGCACAGGGAGATCATAAGAATAAAAAAAAATAAAAAAAGATTGCTTTGATCTTAAGTTTAGTACTGCTTTGCATACTGGTATGAAAACTTGTAGAAGAATAAATGTAGGTTCTTCTTTTTTTGGTTTTTGGATTGTGATTTTGTCCCTTTTACTCTGACTAAAGGTATCTTTAATGAATTTCTTAAATAAAACAAAAGTTTAAAATTGGAAATAAACAAATAAAAATGGATAGAGAGTTGAGTGGGATTGGGGCAACCTAATGTATAAACACAGAGTAAGCATTTAGGTCCAATGTCACCTTGGAGTGTAGATAAAGATAAAAATATAAATAGCAGAAAACTAAGAAGAAAAATTGAAGAAAACATTTTTCAGCCAACCATAATTTCATTCCTTCACGTAGACTTCTCATGCTTACCAAGAAATCCATTGTCTCTCTATCTCTCTCAAGTCTTAAGGTGACTTCGACAGTCTTAGCCTTCAATGTCAACAATGGTTGTAGGCATAGTATCTTTTGCCATATGGCAAAAGCAAACGTGATCGTGTGTGAAGAGATAATAACATATTGGAAAAACAGTCTCCAATAAGTTTCAACTTTTTTTTTTCACTAAGATCTTTTACTTATATATCGAGTTCATTCTACACAGTCGAATTGTCTATATGGACTAGTCAGATTTTGTTAATTAATGAGTTTTGCTAAGATTAGAAGTACTGTCCCTACGTTTTGTTTATGTGCTATTAGTTGTTGGGTTCCCTTTGCCTTGGTTAATTAAGACCATTATTATACGATTAATGATTAATTTACATATCACATGCATTTTTTAATATAATATAGATATATATGTAAATCATTGAGTAATATTATTTCAAGCTAACAAAGTCGTAGCATCTGAATGAATGTATGCAAAAGTTTATGTGCATGGAATTAAATATGTGGTTAAATTAATTTATTGTGTAATCGAAATAACATAATCAAAATACTATACCAAGATAATTTTTGAAAAAAAAATTACAAAATTATAATCATATTACGAAACATGCATATAAATACATGTGTAAAGAAACTTATTTTTGGTATATCTAATTTGGGTTAAACATCCGTCCTGTTACTGGAAAATCAAAATTTTGTCGACACCTATACATCGATCTATGTGCTTTTTTTATTTTTATTTTTAAAAACACATGGGCCCATCAATTGTTTTGTGTCAGCAGGAAATGGATATATTTTCATGTAACATGACTCTAGTTTTACCCATCTAATTTATATTAAAAGTAATGGTTAGGCCTAGGGTTGGCAAAACGGCCCAACCTGACCCGACTCGGCCCAACCCGCATTCAACCCAAAAAAGACGAGTCGGGTTAGGGTTGGCTAAAAAAAAAAAAAGCCAGAAAATCCAACCCAACCCGACCCGAGTCGGATTAGGGTTGGCTCGCGGGTTGGCTCAAAAATATGGCTCGTGGGTTGGCTTGAAAAAATAGCTCGCGAGTTGGCTCGCGGGTTGACTCAAAAATTGCTCGCTGGTTGGCTCGTTTTCAGCCTATTTAAATGACCCTGTAGTATTAATGTACCAGCTATGTGGCTTCCATTAGCTTAAGCGAAGGGTTACAAAATGAGAAATAAAAGTTAAATATTTTATTTTTGAATTTTATTCACAACAAATTTGCATCAACATCCAAAAACAATCAGAACACTTGCTATCAAGTGGGTAAGATATTTGAACCAAACAGAGCCAGCACAGCTTAACAATATAAAAATGGCAGGGATGTGGGAAGATTAAGGACTTAAGTTTAGAGAAGGAAGAAAAATGATGACAACATGTGTGAGTTTTGTCCATATTTGTATATTATATTTTGTTTTTTTATATCGTAACCGTTAATTTCCGTCAATCAATGGTCATAATGTATTAGGTCAAACTTATTAATTAATTAATAATTCGTAATAAATTATAACCATTGATTGATGAAAATCAACGGCTAGGATATGAAATAACACAAAGTTATATCTCTTAAAAGAACAAATATTTTTCCAACTTTTATTTGTCCTATTTGACCTAACTTATTTAGCAAATAAGTTAGATTTGAACTTTTGAAAAAGTCTATTTAATTAACCAAGCGGGCAAAAGACTAAGCCTGACTCTACTTAATTAGTCTATCAGGCTGATATATTTATTTATTATTTAGATATGTAATAAGAATTTAGAATATTACAATTTATTAAATATACATTAATATAACAGTTAACCTTATACATAATAATATAATAATTTTATTGATATACTAATTAATTTGAAAGCTAAAAAGTTTAAGTTTCTTGATTTATTTGAAAGCCTTCATGTAAAAGAAATCTCTAAATTGGATTTGATGAGTTGGGTCATGCTTTTATTTCAATTCACATTTGACTCGAAAAAGAAAAGAAAAGAAAAAACTTACAATAAATAACAAGTCAATTTTATGTCAATATTTTATAAAATAAGTTTAGGCCTACGTAAGCAAATCCTAACTTAGATTTAATTGATTTTCACACTTTATAGATAGGCACATAGTTACTAGTTCGAATATTAATTATGTTAATTATTTAGACTTATCCTATAAAGAAATATCCTTATAAATTTTTTAATCTTAATTAGTGTTAATGATCTGCCTTTAATCGAACCAAATAAAAGATTAATATTTTATACAAGTTCGTCAGAAACACCACTTCAACGCAATACAAAAATATAAACTATACACTATTCAATTAGAAACTAAAACATGAGGTTTAGCAAGATGAGTAAGAAATACTTAAACATATATTTAGCTTCTGTTTTAGAACAATAGTATCCGACTGCACTTAATTAAATATTAGATAACTCAGATTTAGCTGAGCGTGTATCATGACCTAGAGCCAATGGGACCCACGCATAGAGAGAATTCTTCGCTTTAGTTAATTACGAAAGTTGGTGATGCTGTATCCAAAAAAAAAAGTTGGTGATGCTTGTCCTTACCAAAATAGAAGCCATGTAATCATAAAAGCATAAGAATAAGTTGGCGTATTATGAGTTGAATTTTAGTCATGCAAATCAACAATTAGTAATTAAAATAATTATTTCAACTTTTTTATTTTGTAAAATTATTATTTTAGTCATTAAAATAATAATTGTTGATCTGTCAATAAATAATTAAGATGCAATCCCACCCCCCCCCCCCCCCCCCCAACACCGAGAAAAAAAAATTTAAGATGCAACACATAAAATTGTCATGTTAAAAAAAAAAAACATATGGGGTGAGATGATCTAACTATTCCCTTATATTTACCATGCCAATATCACTATCAACAATAGATAGGAAATTTTAAATATTATATATAATATTATGATATGATTAGGTCTTTCCATTGTGTCCCAAATGTTCTTTTCCATATTTTTTTCTGAATATAAAGTGAAATGAAATCTCAATTTCAATGATTAGCCGTTCATTACTTTCTTCTTCTTCTATTTTTCATTTTTCCCTTCTTTTCCCACTCATGCATTATTATAGTTCCTAAAGATACTTCAACTTGGATGATATTGTTTAGGGGATAGTAATTGAAATAGTTTTTGCTGATGTGTAAATAGCATATACAATTTACCTGTATGCCTTAACTCGCATAATGACTCTTTTAACTCGCATAATGACTCTATTGACCTTTAGGGCCATATGATATGACCGATGTTGAAAGGGGTCAATCTCTCCACATTCTATTTTCCTATTACTCGAATTAATCTCAACAGGTTCTCCTTGTTTCCCAAAAAATAAATCGTTAAATTAAAGAAATTATACTTGTTTTTTGTCATTAAGAATTTTGATAAATAAAATGTTTCCTTGTTTACATATTGGACCGTTAATAGATAAGGTGAAATCTTAAGAGGAATAGGCCCACTAATTAAAGACCGGACTCCTCTATAATAAGCCCAATATTAATCCTTTTCCATATTTGAGTCCACTACCAACCGGGCTTGTCCTCTAATATGAATGATCACATATATCATGCACCCAAACAGCTGATTATATAAATAAAAGATAAATAAATATTGATTTGGTGTCAATTTAAACCCTTAAACACATTTATTTATAACTATCTACATGGACTAATTAATGATTTGCAAAGTATATCTAGTATTAATGAAGAAAATGTTAACGCTAATTACCTCAATTGGTTGAAGAATCAGAATAAAACTGTAAGCTATGAAACACCAACACTTCAAAAACCTTGAAGAGTCGTGTCCGACACTCCGACACTCTCCTACACTCTAACGCGTGTTAAAGAAATTCAAAAAAAGGTTCAAAGGTTGCGTTGCGTTGAGTTTTTAATTTCAACTATTAGATTCGTTGAATTTCGATTAGCATTTTAGTGAGTTTAATATAAATATTTGGGATATCTTATGTTTCTTTGCAAAATTGATGAATATTATAAGTTTAGGTTCATTTTTTGTTAAATTATTGAATATTAAATATAACATATACTATATAAATTAAAAATATTATTTAATATCAAAATGTGTCCTAACGTGTCGAAATCTAACATTTTTTAGAATTAACGTGTCGGAGTGTCGTGTCGTATAGTGTCACGTGTTCCGTGTCAGTATCGTACATAGATTGTAAGAACTTGCACCGTTAATTTAAGAATTTAATTAATTAATTATGAGTTTAATGAGATAATTTTATAATTGACCTTAATAATTAGGAGAAGGCTTAAATAATTATG